CTGTTTTGTCATTGAGGCCCTGAATATGTTTTACTTATGGCTTGCTGGCATTACTTATTTAATATTTGGGATGTACTGATTAGAAAGGAAAGCTACTGCATTAGCGGAGGAAAACGTATTAGACCAAGTGGTAAGTGTATAGACTATATTTGGTGAGAAATTTTGAGGTGAGAGATAGTTTATATTTTACCTTTAGTTTGTAGAAATAAAATGATTGTGTCAGTGAATTCAGAAGAACATGTACCAAAGAGCAAAACATTAGGAAAACAGATGTGATAGAGATGAGGAGGCTGTAGTGTGTTTACATTTTGAGTGACCACAAGACTGTGGTGAGCCAAGAACGCTGTTGGAGTTTGACCAAAGGAAATGGAGAGTCCAGCCGAGCTTCAGCTGCATAGGAAACATTCTTGGATGCCCTTCTTTGTTTTGTTGTAATGAGAAAAGCCACATACAGAGGCTCAGAATAAACAACAATGTTACCAAACTGCGTATGTTCTCTCATGCTCCACTCGAGAGGGCTTGAGGAGAAATTGAGAAGAGGTTTGTTTACTAACTAGTCAGAGAATAAGCTTATATGACGACAGACTGAATTCTAAATAAAGGTGCTGTGCTTTTCTAGTGCTTATTCTACGGAGCCTGCAAGTTTGAGAACTTCTTGAGTACCACACCTGTTATCTCTTCATTTAACAGATTCACAGTCGGTATAAATGAACTAAACGTTTGTGGACTGAAGTTGTGTTTCTTCCTCTGTTCGCCTCGTGGACCAGGAAGCCATACAGCATATTCTCTTGGTGGCTTTTGTGAAGTGTGTAGCGCCATAAGCAATTGTATCACCTTCCTTCTGTGGTTGCTTTCCTTGACACTTGATGCCACCAAGGAGCATTCAGCTCACCAGGAAGTATCAGGATAGATAAAGGAGGTGTCAACAGTAGATTAAACACCTACAGCCCTAACAGCTGCATTTGTACTTACTACTTACTGAAAGGTGCCCTATTGTAAATGTTAGCTAAAATGCTAGGGTAAAGACTTTCTATTTTTCCTTTCTCTGAGGCCTCAAGATCAGATGTGTCAGGAGTGCTGAAAGCAAGTTTATAAATAGAAGGATTGAAGAGATCACCTGTCTGAAAAACCCCATGGTGAACTATTTAGATGCTTCAGCATCAAGTAAAATGTAGAATTGAGGAATGCTGTATATTCAGATGAACAGCTGGTGTAGAAAACTCAAAACAATATCTGCCTGTATTTTACTTAATTATTAGGATATTAACAGTGTAAAAAGAGTTGTTCTCACAGGCTGGGCTATCTGGATTTTTTTTTCCTATGTATAAGTAGTATCTATGAATTCTGTCTCATCTTCCTCTATGAAATTTATTCACTATGGAGATATAATTATCGCTTGATTTATTAATATTAATGCAGTATATTACAGGCAGGTATTTTAGAATGCTAGATTTCCAAAGTAATTTTCAAAATATGATCGTATATATGATTATATTTTAAGAATGATTAATAGTCTTAGAATTTTAATATTTCAAAGTAAATAGTGAAGAGCTTGAATATTATGTTTGTCTTCCTCTTTTCAATGTATTTGTGTTGTCCACTTACTCTGCAACTGAATCCAAGCTCTACCGCTTACTAGCTGTGTGTCCTTTGGTAAATGACCTAAAATAATTTCTCTGTGCTTCAGTTTCCTTATCTGGGGATAATAATAGTATCAATCTCATAAGGTTATTGTGATTATTAAATGAGTTAATAAAAGTTTCTAGAGCAGTGCCTGTACTTAGT